ACAGGTGAAGTGAATAACATTGATTATCTCAGTACAATGGTACCTGGAAGTGGGGGGATATATTACAATGGCACGGGGGGATATATTACAATGGCACCTGGAAGTGGGGGGGATATATTACAATGACACCTGGAAGTGGGGGGGATATATTACAATGGCACCTGGAAGTGGGGGGGATATATTACAATGGCACCTGGAAGTGGGGGGATATATTACAATGACACCTGGAAGTGGGGGGATATATTACAATGACACCTGGAAGTGGGGGGGATATATTACAATGACACCTGGAAGTGGGTCGATATATTAGGCAGCAAGTGAACATTTTGTCCCTGAAGTTGATGTGTTGGAAGCAGAAAAAAATGGATATAAGTGTAAGGATTTGAGCGACCTTGTCAAGGACCAAATTGTGATGGCAACTGGGTCAGAGCAACTCCAAAACTGCAGCTCTTGTGGGATGTTCCCGGTCTGCAGTGGTCAGGACCTACCAGAAGTGGTCCAAGGAAGGAAAACCAGTGTCAGGATCATGGATGACCAAGGCTCATTGATGGGGAGCGAAGGTTGGCATGTGTAGACCAATCCAACAGCAGAGCTAATATAGGTCAAATTGTTAAAAACAGAATGCTGGTTCTGATAGAAAGGAGTCTGAACACACAAAGCATTGCAGTTTGTTGTGTATGGGGCTGCATAGACGCAGACCGGTCAGGGTGCCCATGCTGTGTGGGGGGAAGAGATGGCACCAGGATGCACTATGCTGAGGCAGTGTGATGCTTTGAGCAATGTTCTACTGGGAAAATTTGGGTCCTGCCATTCATGTGGACATGTACCACCAACCTAAACATTGTTGCTGACCAAATACACCCCTTCATGGAAATCTTATTCTCTGATGGCATTGGCCTCTTTCAGAAAGATAATGCGCCCTGCCAGACTGCAAAAATGGTTCAAGAATGGTTTGAGAAATACAACAATGAGTTTGAGGTGTTGCCTTGGCCTCCAATGTCTCCAAATCTCAATCCGAATGAGCATCTGTGGGATGTGCTGGAAAAACAAGTCCGATCCATGGAGGCCCCGCCTCATGTCATTCAAGAAGCTCTTGGACGATTTCCTTGGAGACCATAACATACAGGGGTACAGGTACTCCTAAGAACAAGATCACACATGGACTTGAGTCTTTATTCAACCTCAAATACTATGTAACTTACAGGACTTGGTGCCAGATACCACAGCGTACCTTCAGAGGTCTAGTGGAGCCCATGCACCAATGGGTCAGGGCCGTTTTGGTGGCAAAAGTGGGACCTACTCAATATTAGACGGGTTGTCATAATTATGGCTGATCGGCAGGGCTTGAAAAATCCACTTGTCCTCTCGTCTGTGACGAGAGGACGGTGGAGCCCGACGAGTAGCTTCCCTGCCGGCCGTTGTAATTACACGGCCGGCAGCTTTACATTCAAGCGATCGGGCGTCTCTGGGGACGCCCGATCGCTTGTATAGGAGCAGCTGTCACTGCCGTTGCCGGTCCCGAGATCCGCTGTGCCCGATGCTGCCGGGACCGACACGGCTCCTCTGTGACAGGAGATCAAAGGGAGATCGGTACACAATCTCCCTTTGTTCTTCTCTCCAGTCCCCGAATGCAGGAAGTGATGTATATTACATCACTTCTGCATTCCTCTGTCACGCTCCAGCTTCAGAAGCTGGGGAGAGGCTGGTGAAGCAGATCTCTGCTTCATCGGCTTCTCTAGGGGTCCCTAGGTGACATTAGGGGTCTTGGAGACCCCTGATGTCTCCATAAAGAGGACCTGCCATGTAAATTGGCTATCACATAGGGGGTTTCTTAGTCCCCTATGTGATAGCAATAACGTTGTGTAAAAAAATCCGGGACGGTCTGACTTTTTCTTAGAGGTGGCCCGAACCTGGGCTCGTGTGCCAGCCGAGAGGGCCCCGCGTGCCCTCTCTGGCACGCGTGCCATAGGTTCGCCACCACTGGTCTAGTCCCTTGGTTCTCAATTGGTGGGTCCTCAGCCTCCCCTTAGCGCAGCACTGTCAGTTCCCATTCCAAGCAGCCATTCAACATATGCTGCCCGGAGCCAAGTGTCAGCTTGAGGTGGGGTGGGCTGGAGTTATGGAGCTCCATCCATATGTGCATTGCTTACAGCTCGTTCACATGTCCTATAGAGGTGCCTGGACTGGACCTACATCACATTTTGGCTCCCACACCTCTACAGGGCATGCAAGGGAGTTGTATCAACAATGCACATATGGATGGAGCTCCATCACAGCACAGCAGCCCACACTGGACCCCAGGCTGAGGATCTACTCAAGTTCTTGTACGGTAGGGAGAATGGGTGGATCGTTAAAAACAGATCGATTGACTGCAATGCGGTGCGTTCCAGTGCTGGGCGACTTGGGTCATGACTTAGGCCTGGTTCACACCTGGGCGTTTTACAGCGTGTTCCTACGCACTGTAAAGCGCTCAACATGTGAAAACCAATAATTGCCTATGGGCATGGTTCCCATCTGGGCGTTTTACAGTGCGTAGGTACACAGCCGGATAGCCCTCTGAAACGCACGTTTGTTGCGCATTTCTTTTACCGCAAATCGCGGTTAAAACGCGCGGCACAAGCGCATATTACGTACGCCCAGGTGTGAACCCAGCCTTAATGACCAAGGACAAATGTGGGTCGTGAGGTTACACAGGTTGAGAACCACTGCTCTAGTCTGTAGTGTAGAGTGATTACTAGACAAGTTTTTACATTTGAACATACAGTATCTCAGACACTGAAATACTACCGATGTTTACTGCACGCTAATACAAGTCTCAATGCCTAATTCACAGCAAATCGCATTCTCATTGCACAGGACAGAAGAAAAAAAATTTGAAAATCTACTCTCGTTAAATTAATTAACTGGAATGCATTCCCTTCGTTTTCCCCAGGCATGGACGCTCAAGCTGCAGATGGAATTTGCATATCGTCTGATGGCATCCGTGTGACAGATAGTAATTATGACCGCCTGCTAGTACGAGACAGAAAATACTATTTACTCTCAAAGACTTGTAACTCGGCCAGAATTGTTATGCGGCGCGCTGCGATGCCAAAAGGCAACTAAAGCTTTTATGTATCCGACATAGAGTGAAGGGGAAAAAAAAATGGGACATGTTCGAAAGTCGGCAAAGCTGATGGAAGCATCGAAAAATAGCATCCAGCTGTATACTAACCTTTATAAAGTCTTATCATTAGTACACTGCAATAAATCACAGAGGTAATAGAAGTAAAGAGGAGCAAAAGGTAAGCAACTGCCGCCACCACCACATGGAAGATAAGGTGCGGATTAACTGATTCATAACCAAATGTATACTTCATGTTTCCTGGTGTGCTGAGCAGCGAATATATTGTCACCACATAGACCAATTTCTGAAGTGCCACGTATATGGGGTGTACAAATACCAAAAAAATAAATTTAACATTATATACCGCGTGCGTATGTATGTATGTATGTATGTATGTATGTATGTATGTATGTACACACACTAGGGATACACTGATACTGGTACAAATGCTCCGATGCCTATTCCCATAATGGAACTTCCTGTATCAGAAAGCCGGGCGGTGAGTCATTACATGCTGCCTGGCTTACTGATTGGCTGAGAAGCTGGCTCCATGCTCCCTCATCACCAGGAAGCAATCCCCACTGCTTTTTCTAGCACTCCCCCCCTCCCCAAATGTCTACACTACACTCTCTGGTTGTTCTTCCCTCACTATCTATACTAAGTTCTCTACGGTCACTGTTCACAATGTCCTCGCTACACCCTGATCATGTCTGCGCCTGTTAATTCTGCTCTATTCCGAGTCCTATGATTGCTGGCTTCTCCCTGCTTTTGTGTTCCAATCTGTCTGGCATTTTGAACTCCCCGATCTTGACATTACTACATTATCAGAAGTAAAGGAATGAATTTCCACAGGATGGGACCGCCACTGTATCCTCTCTAAGTGGAACAGAATCAGCTGTCACTGGGCTCTCCTCTAGACCCATCAGCAACATTTTACAATTTGCATTCACTCACCTGTCAAAGATCAGCTACCCCTCTACCTCCCTCCCGCCCAGCCACAATTGTCTTCCCCTTTGCCCACCAACAAAACTCAATCCCAGTTTACATATTTCCCCAACTGTCCATGATCAGATAATACTCATCTCCTTCCTCTTCCTCCTGTCCAGCATTATCTACACTCTACCTTGTCTATCTCTCCGCTATTTGATCAGCTCACCTTGTCCCTCCTCTCTTTCCTACTCAACCAGCTCCTATACCATGTGCTTTACCTCTCCCAATGTTTTGTTTCATGGTCAGTGAAATGACACACTTATCCAAATCAGACATATCCAGATAAAATATTGTCAGAATGCACATCACCAGTGTGGTATGGATATGAATGAATACATAACTGTAATAACCTGTGTCTTCTTTTATCTGCCAGCTCAGTTCAGCTTGAAGGATAGTTTTGTTATCAGCCCACGCCCTTGACTGCACAATGAAGGAGAACTAACAAGATAATCCCTGTGCTTTCCTCTCCTGTAAGCATGTCCACAGCATAAGACTGACAGCACTATGCAAAGCACCAGAGCCCTGGGTTGTCTACAGTCTAAACCCTTCCTCTCCCAGGATAACCAGATTTTAACACAAACACACACACCATCAAAAATAAGAAAGTCAAGTATACATAGACCTCAGATCAGACTTCCTAACCTTCTGAATGCTCTAGCTTGCTCTTTCGACCACCTTCAAGTCATTGCTCCTGCAATAGTGTATATGTGCCATTGCCCAGAATAATGGTTTACCCTCTCTGTGTCCATCTTCACTGCACTATGGGTCATTACTGTGGTAGACTACATGGTACAGCTACATTTAAAGAGCCAACAATAACTGTGATGGTGTTACGAGTGTCCTTTTTGGCTCATATCAAGGCATGCAGAATACATGACATAAAAACATAAAGACTGTACAATACCTTGGACGGAATTCTAAAGTTTTCAACCGGACTGAGATCATGGACGCTGTCTTGTGGACTTTTCAGACCCTAAAATAAAAATAAAAACAGTTAAAGCTTAATGTTCTCACATGAGGCCAAGAAAACACACACAGTGCCTGGGGGGTGGAATGGACCTGAAATAATGCGGTTCTTGGGGAACTTCCTGTCTGACCAATCAGCAATTCTGGGACTTGTAGCTCCTCAGCAGATTGAAATCAGAACCCCCTTTACTGCCACAAAGGCTGCGCGCATTGCTGATATCCAAAATTATTACTGGCTGAGTGGCCAAAGACTTATTACACATAGATTACACAGGGTGAGCAGCATTTTACACTTTATGTTTTGTGAAGAATATGTTCCAATACAGATGACAAACAATAAAAAAAAGCAGAGACATTTTAATGTGATACAGATCGTTCCAAATGTGCACATTGTAAAGGGATAAAGCAAATTGATATAATGAGCATCTCCTACAGTAGTGCTGAATGCATTAGCAATAAAATAGGATTTTTGTACTCACCGTACAATCCTTTTCTCTCCGTTCATTGAAGGACACAGGGAACAGATTGTAGATGGGGTACCGTAGGGTTAGTCTTTGGCCTACAGTACATGATCTACGATCTGTTCCGTGTCCTTCAATGAACGGAAGAGAAAAGATTATTGCAATGAAAACACTGTGCACAGCTCCTCACCTGTTGAGCATCATAACAATCTGCAATAGTGAATATTAAAAGGCATAACCCACTTTTTAGACCAGGTTTCTTGTCACATCTATATTTAGGGTGTAATCTGAAGCCTGGTCGCACACAACACCCCGCTAAAGTGAAATCGTCCCCCTACACACAATCTCTCTGCTTTCTCTACCAGGGCTCTTCCTATCTAACGCACTTTTTTCCCCACAAAAGGAGGGGGAAAATGTGCGTGCGTCTTATGGAGCGAATCCCGAGACATGCAGTTTCTTGTACATTTAGCCCTTCTAAAGCAGAGCTAAATGTACAGTAGGAGCCACTGCTCGTTTAATACAAGTGATATGATTAGATCACTTGTATTAAAACCATGCAGCGGCGACGACGATCGAGATCACTATAGAGAAGACGAAGAACGGACGTTCTTCGTCTGCTCTGTGTGATCACTGAGACCGTGGCGCTGTAATCACAGCGCCACCTCTCAGCGGTCACTAACTGCAGCTTCTATCACAGCTTCTGTCACAGAAGCTAAGGTCTGTCGAGTGCTCCATAAGGCGCACTGGACCTCCCTGCGTCCTATGGTCCGGTGCGTCTTATGGAACGCAAAATACGGTATTTAATGGGTGTTACTGTATACCTCAGATCAGACTTACATACCTTCCCAATGCTCTAGCTTGCTCTTCAACCACTTGCAACCCATTGCTCCTGCAATAGTGTATATGTGCCATTGCCCAGAATAATGGTTTACCCTCTCTGTGTCCATCTCCACTGCACTATGGGTCATTACTGTGGTAGACTACGTGGTACAGCTACATTTCACAGCCAACGATAACTGTGATGGTGTTACGGCTGTACTTTTTGGCTCATATCAAGGCATGCAGTATACGTGACATAAAATCTGTTCCCTGTGTCCTTCAATGAACGGAGGAGACAAGATTATTGCAATGAAAACACTGTGCACAGCTCTTTACCTGTTGAGCATCATAACAATCTGCAATAGTGAACATTAAAGGCATAGCCCACGTTTTAGACCAGGTTTCCTGTCACATCTATACGTAGGGTGTATTCTGAAGCCTGGTCGCACACAACACCCCGCTAAAGTGAAACTGTCGCCCTACACACAATCACTCCGCTTCCTCTTCCAGGGCTCTTCCTGGAGGGGGCGGGTACAGCTGGCTCTGCCTCTAGATAGGCAGAGCCAGCTGTCACTCAGCCAGCTGGGTGGATCCAGACATAATTGTCGGGATCCGCTTCAGCTGCGGCGTCTCAGTATAGTGCAAGCTATAGCTCGCGGTATACTGAGCCTAGGGTGATGGGAGGACGCTAGTTTGTGTCCTCCCGTTACCCTAAGGAGAACTATGGGGAAAAGCCCTAACCCCATTAGTTCTCCATTAATGGGTGTTCCTGTATACAGAACATGAATTGAGGGGATAGCTCTCCTCCGAAAACACAGAAATAAAAATATATTTTCTAGTAGAGATGGGAAGGTTTAGAACTGCCGGATTTTACTGCTGTATGTGTCCCAATCAAGTGATCTGCCTTCATTTCCAATCCAGAAGACGCGTGTCTCAAAGAATAGAAAACAAGCAGAAAATCTCTTCTTGTCTGGAGTTGGCCTTTAACACCCAACTCCATCCACCCTTCAAGGGCGCCCCCCAACCTGGAAGACTGATGACATCCTATGACAACAAACAGAGGAAGTATTCCAGCCTGAGCTGCTTTTTTTTAATTGTGTAAGCTGGCTGGAGGCCCCCATTGTTGAGAAAGAAAATTCCTGGAGATGGACTTTAAAGCGGACTTTAACCCTCTTTCACTAAAAATTAGGGATGTGTCAATACTAGTATCGGTATCGGGGCCGATACAGAGTATTTGGCAGAGTACTCGCCCAAATGCTCCAATACCTACCCCCGATACCTGAACTTCCGGTCAGAGGAAGTTTTCCTTTGACCGGCAGTGCTGTAAGGGAACATGGAGCCAACCAAACAACGTGGAGCCGGCTTCCCGGGCAATCAGTAAGCCGGGTGGCGGGTCAATATCTACTGCCCAGCTTCCGATTGTCAGGGAAACTGGCTCCATGCCAGCCGAAGCACCGGTACTGGTACACAGTATCAGTGAGTAACGAAAGCAAAATATCAGAACTCATACTAGATACCGAAAAAACGGTATCAGTGAATCCCTACTAAAATCACATCAGCATGCAACTCTGCATGCTGATATGAAATCATCTTACATTTATTAACCCCTTCGTGATGGGAGAGGTATACTGTATGTGACGAGTTATATCAGGCTTTGTAATGCCAGTAACCGCTGATTCTCAGCAGTTACCAGTCATTAATGAATGTCTCAGTATTGAGGCATGCATTAATGAAATAGTTAAGCTTTTGTAAAAGCTTCTTTCTTTCATTAATGAAAGAATGAAGCCGTTACATGCAAATACGGGACCGCTAAATAACGATCCCGTATTTGACAGCTGAAAATAGCAGAGAGGTAGCAGAGTCACCTCTCTGCTATTCGTTTTGATAGCTTGATGTTTATGATACATTGTATCTCTTTGGTGAAATGTATCTCTTTGAGTGAAATGTATTATCCTTCTGATCGTCTGGGCCGATCAAAGACCTTTTAGTGAGATCTGAATCTGACATGCTGTCAGGATCAGTCTCTAAGGTCATTATTAGCTGTTCATAAGTTTGGAGCAGCCTAATAATAGCCAAAAAAAATGTAAAAAAGTTATTTTTTCAAGCAGTCATAGTGACTGCTTGATATAAACTGACAAAAAAAAAAGTATTTATTTTTTACTTTTTTTTTTTTTACAAAGTGTAAAAAAAATAAAAATAAGTGTAAAACAAAAATGATATATAAATATATTTTTTTATACTATAATTATTATAACAAATTTCTAAAAAAAATAATAATCAAAACTTGTGAAAAAAGTGTTTTCTTCTAGTTTTTTTTCCTCATTTTTTTATATTTTATTCAAACTGAGTGAAGTACACATGTTTGATAGAATTATATAGCCCTATCTGTCCTCTAAAAAACAATATACAATATGAGTGGGTACGTTTAGTAAGAAAGTATATTACTGCTGTGGAAGAATCACACAGCAAAAATGTAAAAAGCGTGTCAGTCATTTATGAACAGAAACTGAAAACTAGCTCAGTCATGAAGGGGTTAAATAAACTTATTTTGCTTTTACTTAAAATTACTGTTTTTCCACTTCCTGGTCCTCTTGGGCATTAGTGATGTAATCTGTGCCCAAGCATTGCATCCTGGGAAGGTTACATCAGCAGAGCATTGCTGGAAAATCTCATCGGTAATCTCATGAGATCTCTGGGAAAGGCATTTTCCTACCCTGTGATGATGTGCATGGTCACATGTCCTAGTCACATGTGCCAGTACAAATGACCACTGTGAGAAGAATGGGGAGGAAAAGAGAAATAAGTTATGTAAATACTACAAAGCCGGCAATTATCTAGAAGTATATAGAAGTATAATAGATCATATATGTCTGCATGCTGAATATGAGAGCTGTAAAGCCGAGACTTTCATACAGATGATGATTAGAATGTTTTTATTGTACTACTGCTATATTGATTGGGATGGTGCCGTCCAAACAGATCACATCATCTGTCCATATGCAACGGCGCGGAGGACATTACGTTTTGAAGATGTTAATTATCAAGAACTGTTTTACATGAACTGCAACTGGGGACGTCAGCGTATCAACAAATGAAATGCCAAATATTCGGCACAAGTTAAAATATCTTGGACTGATAGCGCTCTGCGTCCTTTACTTGACGGGACCCAAATGTTTCTGACATCACGGTGACCATCTGGATCCTAATTCCCGGGACCAGTTCCAGAAACCAATTCGTTCATAGTTAATCTGGCAATCTGAAATGATCATCAGCGATGCCAACCTATTAAGCTTCAAATTCACGAGGCGACGACCGGGACTCGATTAGCTGGTACAATTCTGCATAACATTATGTGAATCTTCAACTTTATTAAAGCGGAGCTTCACCCATATCTTTAAAATTACAACAAACACACCTTTAGAAATGACAATCTACAAAACACATACTTCTAGATAATTGCCGGCTTTGTATTCTTTGCAGATCTTATTTCTCTTTCCTACCCAGTTGTGACGGACTGCACCGTCACTGTGCTAGTTGGAGGGGGCTGCAGGTTGGCCTCCTTCCCACCGATTATGGCCCAGCAAGACAACAGGAGATTTTTGGGGCTAAATGTACATTTATATGCAGACAGTGACTGTTGCCCTCTGGGAAATATATGTTTTAAAATGGTGGAGGACAAGGACTTGGCCACATGGTTTGTCTAGTCAAAATGGAGACTTAGTTAAGT